TCTAGTGGTTTGAAATGCATATCTCCATGTAGGTATATTTTTAATACCATATTTTTATTGGATTTTTTGGATTATTGATCAAAGCAGTGACTTCTATATAAAGGCAAGCAGGTACCAGACCCACTGCCAAAATGCTACATAGTGCAGCTTTAATAGTCAGTTTGAGTTCACATATCTGCTTGTCTTTGTAGCACAGAGCAGCAGCCAAAGCCCTTTAGCCCTTTGTTGACACATAGCCCATATATTTTTAATCTGCTAAATTTTACATACTGCTTAAATGGACCCTGCATATTTTATGAGCTGCTCTCTACCATGACACGGCAACCATTATCTCTGCAAAGTTATTGTGTAACTTCCGTGCAGTTGCTTCTTGTTATGGTGTTTTTTCCTTGCATTCCCCTTGGTGGGCAGAGATTTCAGTAAAAGAATAATAGATCTGCATCGCCATCTCTGAGCATTAGGGCGTAGTTTTATGGTGAGTAAGCAAAGTGGACATTAAAGATGCAACAGCCTGGGGTCTCAACGGTCACTGATCTGTACCGCTTTATAGAGAAATTAAAGATGAAAAAAATAATCTCTGTTCGGTTTGTTTATGTCAAGATAATTGTAGCTCTCGTAATCATAAATACTTATCGAATTTGAGATGCTCTGCCAAATCTCACAAGATAATATTTTCTTTTTATCATAAATGGTGCATACAGTGAGTTGAATCTTGTGTCTTTGGACTTGTATTTATGCAGAAGTGTGTTCTAGGATTGTTTTTTATTGGACAAGAGCAGATTTTTCTCAAGGATGACTGCATACGCTACACAAGAGGCTGTAGTCATGGGAGCTATACAATTCATGTATATGTCTCTGTCGAGTAAACCTAAACAGACAATGACATGAATATGAATTGACTATTCTTTAAGTTTGAGTTTCTGTAGCCCAGGCAATACATTTTTATAAGTTTATTAGCACTGTAGATATAGCCAAGAGATACTGTCTCTAGCCACAGGGGGTCAGTGAGGAAACTATAATTATTAGGCCCGAGCGCAAGAGGCTGGCGAAGGGCCTATTAGTATCGAAAGCGATGCTCATAGTGGCTGGAAAATGAAATGGCACGATGTGACTCACCCATAGTGACCAGGGACCCTCGCCATGACATAGCAATGCGCCAGAGGTTTCCGAAAATGTATAGTTTGTTGGCCAAAAAAAAGCAGAACATCGTTCTCATATCAGAAAAAGCAGAACATTGTTTCCGTTTTTTTCTTTCTTTCTTTCTTGTTTTTTATTATTTCTCTCCTAACCAACTCACCCATTTTTCACCCATTGAACCAAGACGAAAAGCCACCTGGTAAAATGTCCACTTCTCTAACATTTGGCTATTTCCATTTTCCAAAAATAAATTAAATGGCTCATCAGTGCCCCCAAACAACTCAAAAATGCATTAGGGAATATGAATGAGGGCAAAAAAAATTGCACGTAGAATCATGAAATTTGACACAGAAGTCAATCATGACAAGAAAAGTAAAAAATATTATTACACCAACACCGTTTAAACTTTGCTAAGCTTTTATTAACTCCTCTGAGGGTGTTCACCTGAATGGGCTCAAATTTAGTCCACATTATCTCAAAAGGTGGAACATCAAAAGTTATCAAAATTTTTCACACATGTCTTACGGTCTCTGAGCACTGAAGTGACAAAAAACGCACACAATTTTGGAGATTTGCAAATTGCTCCCATTTGCTCAAACCAACTCCAATTTCAGTGAAATTTGAAACAATTGTTACACTCTCTACCCTAAAGCTGTTAGGGTTACAATACAATTTTGTGTATTATTATACATTGAAACAAAATTTAATATGGGAGAACAAAATTTGGTTTTTCAAAAAATTCTGAAATTTTGCACAAAATTTCATTCTGGCATCCTGATCCAAAAAGTCAATGACACCCATGCCATATTTTTTACGCCGTTGCCATAGCGATGACATAAACTCTCCATGTTATTCCATTGGTAAAACTGACAAATCGCACAAACTTTGGCCAATTTCACTCAAATTTTAATTGTGGGTTCACACCCCGACCTGGTGAGTGTGTGGGTTCACACCCCGGCTGATGTAAGTAAAGTGGGTGCAATAGTGCCCCCTAGAAAATTTGTTTGCAAAAATAAAGTTTTATGTATCACAAAATTACAAAATTTGGTACCCACATTTGTGACGTGGTCTTGATTTAAAAAAAAATAAAAATAAAAATTACAGCAGAGTGCCTACCCTTCCATTTGTAGATGTCTTGAAAGGAATGTGTTAAATTTTTGTAAACAGCTCAATGGTGAGGTGAAGTGGCTATCCAACATCATGTAGCAGCCAAGCATTTAGCAGCCTTGTCTTATATGTCTGAAAAGCACCTGGGCAATGTGAATCAAGTGTCCTGCTCATTGACACCACAATATTAAGTGGTAAAGTGGGAATAAAACCAACTATCCTCTGCTTCTTGGGTGTATGCATAGTCACTGCACCACAAATAAAAGATGTATGTTAAAAAAGGGTAAACTTTATTGGCAATCTGGTTAATTATTGTGTAACACATTCTTGTTCGTTTAAAGGCTCTGTACCTGATTTTTAAATCGCTAGAAATGGATCTAGTTTATTACTAGTCCAAACATAGTACAGTTTGCAGTTGTCCATAAACACTCAAAATTAGGACTGTTCCGGGTAAATAAGGATGTCTTGTCACTCTACTTATATACTTATTTATCACTTATTACTCTTATTTACACTTAATTATTTATTATGAAGGATTAACTGATGAATGACTAATAAAATGATTTACAACAGATAAACAATGATAATGGTATTGGGTGGTTTATTGTACACCTAGACTAATGGGTAAAGGTGTAAAGTCAATTTATGGTCAGTTTGGAACCAAGCTTTAGGCTTACACGTGCGAGGGCCGATCACTGCCGCTTGCGGCTATATTATAAAGCTTTTACTCTTGAACCATAGGTTTAAGTCTTTCTGTGCAATATACTGAGGCAAGATGGTGCATCCATTGTAGTTATAGTAACAGTAAAAATAGAGTTTGAGTTTGAAAATTGCCTATCTAAAGGTTACATGCCTCTATTTAAAAGTGCACTGTGTAACTTCTGTGTTTATGGCTATAGAAATCTGTAAAAAAAAAAATGCATTCTTACTGTAATCAGGCTCACTTCGGCACAGATCTGATCTGACAACCTGGCCTGGTTGTGTCTCCTGCTTTGCTTCATGGAGTCCGGTGAAGTTAATGTCACACTATGGAACATTCCAGACAAAGAAAGAACACAGCCCATTGGAGACAACCAGGTGGAGACAACCAGGTGGCACACCCAGCACTACAAAGGGCATCTTTAAAGATTCTATAATACACAAAATTGACTCTTGTGAGTTTTAATGTTATAATGTTGCCTCATCAAAAACATACCTGGAATTATGTTTTGTTTCATTCACACGTTTGAGTAATCCTTTATTATTGGTCTGTCTACATCTCCGAATCTCAAAATGCTCTGTTCCTTGTGATGTGATTAGAGGTAGTTTTCAACCTAACAGCTCATTTTACCTTTAGTTCAGCTGAGATTGGCAATTCTAGGACTGAGATCATCCAGATGATTTTAGTGAAGATGTATGGAGTTTAAAAACACAGTGAACACTTCCTGTATCAGTGTTTTCAGGTTGAGAGAAGAACCTAAACATACAGATTTCTAAATATACTAAGCACAAGGTATGTTTGTGATGATTAAACATCATTATAACAGAGTTCAGAGATTTAATGAAAATATGAGCCAAAAGTTAAGTGCTTTTTCCTGGTTTTGGCGTCCTTAGCTCTAATGGCTCTGCAGTGGTACATCTTGTCCTCCATCACTGGGGTTGTGAGGACAAGACTGATGGCTGTTTGCTAAATATGTTTGCTCTTTGGCTCAGGGCTAAACGGACTCCAAAGCATCTCTGTAGCATCACAAATGTCCCAGCTCCTCAGGTCAAATTTAAGTTTTTCACTTTGCTTGACTTTCCATCCAACTACTGTTAACAAATTAAGTGAAGAGTTTTGACATTAATTTACTTCTAATTTGAAAACAGTGGACCAGCAGACTTGATCTTAATGGGAAGTTTGACTCTGTATATGGATCATAAATATTACAATTTCACCACACCATTCAAAAGCATTACCCAGTCTGAAAGCCATTGGTTAGATTACATTCTAATTACACATTGTCATATACTGTGAACATAAAGGGCAGTTAAGTTACCCTGCCATCTGGATGCTTGTACCAGACTGAAGCTGTGGTGGGGTTGCCCCAGGCCAGTAGGGGGCGTATATGGCAGGGCAGTGATGCTGTGAAGTGTCACTTTGCAGCAGCGCACAGAAGCAGAGAGGAGCCGTGGGGGTCGGACCGGAAAAGGTCAGGCCATACAGCTGTATGTGCTTAATATGCTTTGAGTAGATTCACATACACTCGGCTGGTGTAGAGGAGGGTTCTTTTGTGACAATCTAATATGTATTCACATAGAAAACATGAATGTAGTATTCACACAGTATCACCTACTACAGCTCCAAGGACAGTGGAGACTTGTTTTCATCTTATGTATAATCAGCACAGTGGCTGAGTGGCTAACACTTACATCTCACAGCAAGAAGGTTGTGGGTTTCACTCTGCATTTCTGTGCAGACCTGTTTCTCCCTTAGTTTGTGTGGTTTTTCCTCATCAGTCCAAAACATGCACAACATCCTCCAGCTGACTGCTCCTGACAGGATGCCTCAGCAGCACTGGTTTAAGGATGGGTCAAATGCAAATAAGTTTCCCTTATAAAGGATTAATAAAGTATACCTTAATAATTGGTAAAAAGTAAATTGTTAAAAGCTTTGGCCTTTCACTCTGCTCCCTTTCCACTTTATCCATGTTTGGAAATAGCACAGAGTCCATTGAGTCATGATGCACAAGTTATAATCTGTCTTCAAAGATAAACATAACTCATGGCAGTTATTACACAGCAGTAATTTGTTTTATTTAATTTGCACATGTACATTAAGTAACACTCTGTTAATCCTCCCCAATGTAGATCATATGAACATTTTCACAACACGTGTATGTGGCAGGTCAACTGTCCAAGTTTGCAATATCAAAAGCACTTCTGATTTAAGAAAATAGTGCCACCTCTGCCCACGTAGTTATGACCTGTCCAGTTTTTATTTTTATTCTATTGTAATGTCAAGTACTATGAGTCTTTTTCCGTGCATCTTTTTGTGCTTTCAACAGATAGTTTATCTTTTCAAAATAAAATACAACATGAGAGTCAAGGCAAGCTCTGCCATAACAGCCCCAGTAATCTCAACATATAATATATTTAATTTCCATCGCATGTGTCATTCCTTGAGTAGTGATTCTCAACTGGCCCTAATGGATCATGGGTAGAGGTGGTTGTAGCTTCGACCTTCAAAGCATTTTAAGATTAAATATGAGCACTTCACTGCAAGAAGGTCCCATGTTCGATGCCCAGACAGGATGGGGGTCTTTCAGTGTGGGGTTGAATCAAGATGGAAATAGGTCACAAGCAAAAGCATATGCAGAGGATTTGAGATTATTTAAACTAGTTGTCGAACTTTCACAATGAAAATCTTTTGTTTCTTATACTTGATGTTCCTGACTCTTCCATGCACAATTATGAGGTCTAGATATCAACTTAATGTATCTCAATTAACAAGTGCCATGAAAAAAATCTATGGTATTTACGTGTTTAGTCATAATGTTATGGCTGATTTGTGTAGACCAGTTGAGAACCACCACCACCCCTTTTATTTCAACATATTCTTCAAGTAAAGCATTTAACAGTGTTTTACTACAACCGCTCTCATCCTCCATTGATAAAGCCACTGAGAAAATGAAACAAATTGCTAAGTATGGACCAACACTCCCTCCATAGTAGTCCACTGAAAAGCATTCATTCCCATTGCATTGTTCTTTATAGAGTGCAAACCGATGAAAAAATCCATAGAAGTCCATATTTTGTGCATATCTTCAGGTTTGCCATTCTTCCTACATGATCACGCAGCTCTTGGCCCGGTCCTTCCTGATGGGTGGGGGATGCTCGTGTACTATCTCAGTCCGGGTCGGTTGCTGGGACACTCGTTTGACCCCCCCTTTACGGGACCCTGTGCGTTTGATCGGGGTGCGGTGAATCCGGTGCACAGACGCCAAAGTGGTGACGTGGAACACATCTCGTACGCTGTTCTCCGAGTATTTGGACGTGCACTCAGCGTATGCCACTGCACCGATCTGCCGCGCCAAGGTAGTACCCTTTGAAAAACATAAAGAAGGATAGAATTAGACTTGTTTGTTTGGTCTGAAAGCTGGTGATTCATGTGGAGAGGTGGTAAGAGCTACTACATTCTGTTAACTATTGTTGAAGTGTGAAAAGGCCGTTTGTGGACAGGCTGCTTTTAGCATCTTATAATGAACCTCTTCACTAGTTTTGTGTTCAGTGTGTTATTTGAAAATACATGCTGGATTTATTTAAAATGTTAGGACTTGTTTGTACAGAGCTCTACTTTTCTTTTGCATCTTGATTTTGCGATTACCAACTTAGATTTCCATGTATATGCTGATTTGTAAGCACTTTACAGTTTAATAATTTAACTCAATTTATCTACACATTTAACTGGTAAAATTGGTAACATTCATTCTACCTCTTTTTTTATTCATGTGGAAAGTTGTGAAAAGCCAGTGATAACTTGGTTCAGTTTGTTCAGTTTAGGTAATTTTACAATATCAGTACAAGAGTAACTAGTTTAGATACTAGTTTCAGTATCAGTTTCAGTTAGTATCAGAGTTTTGATCGTTTTGATAACCCTAACCCAGACTATGACGGACAAATCTAAAAACAACCTTCATGCAAGGAAGACAGGAGAATTATCTTTAACGATCACAATTTTGCTAAGTTTTCAACAGCAAATGAAGCTTATCAACAGTAGCTGTGAGTAGCCAACGCCCCAGTCGCCTCATACTGATCATTAGCCTCCACATAAAGTAGCCTTATTATACAATGTTAATAGAAATCTGCATTGTATTTGAAGTAATGCCACTACCCCAGTCTCTAATGACTATTTCAGCATCCACAGATGACTGGTCAGAGCCATAGGGAGCAGCAGTGGTCCATCAGCTCCAGTCCGATGACCACACTCCCCTTCGGATCTCCTCAGTCGCTCAAGTAGCTGTAATGTAATACTCCCGGTTTGTGGCCTTTTAAATAACATTCATTACAAGTGACTTCAGATTGCCTAACCTAGAATAACTATTTTAAAGCCTATATAACCGGTATTTGCAACTGCAGCAGAGTAGATTATATTGTTTTGCACTGTTGGATGTGTCTGTAATGTTGTGTGGCGCCCTTTATGACCCTTGTGTTGATGGGTCTATTAAGTATACCCTCAAAAGGCACTGTGCTAATACTTTTTATAGACAGGAAGGTAGGTGGTTTATAAAAAACATAGCATTATGTTTTCTGGATGCAACAAATCATTTGTATCATCATCTATAACTTTATTTGCTCCATAAATGTCCTCTTTGGTCTTTACCTACTCAGCTCAATATCCTCCTATAGTTTAAAGAGCCCTTATTACAGTATTTTCTGATCTATTATAATTTTGTTTCCTCATCAAAATCTGCCTGGAGTGTTGTTTTGTTTCATTCACACATGTTTAACACACAAACACTGCATATATACTTGTGATGTCATGTGGTTGCATAGGAAGTGGTCCACTGTGTTTTTAAACTCCACACACCTTCACTAGAATCATCTGGATGACACTTGAATTACCAATCTCTACTGAACAAAAGGTAAAAGATAGCTGTTAACTTAAAAACTGCCATTTCATGATATCACAAGGTGGAACAGACATTTCGAGCTTTCGAGATGTAGAGAAGTGAATGAAACAAAACACAACTCCAGGTATGTTTTTGATGATGTAACAACATTCTAATAAAGCTAAAAGCGCACAAGAGCCAAGTTTGTACAATAGAGGACCTTTAATTCCTCCTCTGCATTTTTTAAAATCTAATTACATTTTCATCAAACCATAGTTATATTTTGATTGACATATTTAAATTTTAAGTTTTTATAATCCCTTCTTTCAACTAGATATCAGAATCATCTAACTTACAAACTAATTCATAAGGGAGCAATCGCATCCTTGTTATATTATTACAGACAGGCCAATCAAGGCAATTGCTTCGGCTCTGCCCTAGTTGTACAGAACTAATAATTTGTTGACAATAGGCTGCCAAGATGAAATAGGAAATTGAATACATGAATATGGCCTATTAAAATGCATGTGTCCCTTATTTAGTGCTCCTAACACAACAGTATTATCTAGCTTCCCACTGTTTTGTCTTTTCCTCTCTCTATGCTACTCATGTCTCCATATTTGAACTGACGTGTTTGCTTAGCGCTAACAATAGCTGCCACTTTAGCCATAATACAGTATAATTTGCACTGTTAGGCTAAAGGTAAATAGAAATAACTGCTCTGGAGAATTACAATGACAGTACAGCGTATGTCAACCATGTTCTGAATGTGATTATGTATAGTAAATTAAGCAGAGATTGCAGAGTCGTTTCTATATGCAAATGTATGGATGCATAAAAAGCGAGTCATTTCAAGCCAGGTTTAACACGGTGCACGAAAGGACAAGCTAATTTAACCTCTGACTGGGTGATGGTGGGTGGGTGGGTGTAGGTGGGGGTCTCACCTGCTCATGGGTGACAGGGATGAGTCTGTGCTTGGCTAATTCCCTCATAACGCTCAGGTCCGTCCTCATGTCCAGTTTGCAGCCGACGAGCACGATTTTAGCATTGGGGCAAAACTCCTGGGTCTCACCTTGCCACTGTGGGACAATCAACAAGTATACATAAAATTTTTATTTTTTATATTTTTATTGATTTTAATAAAAACTAAAAAAGACACAGAATTAAATAAGTACAATAAAATGAAACACCCTTCTCTCTACACACTTAAAACAAAATTTAACATTTCAAGTATACATTTTAAATAACAACAGTGTGCAGAATAATGAAGGCTGGATATTGTACATTTCCATTGATATAATAGTGTTTGAAGATCCCATGATTCCCAGTGCACATTGATTTTACAGTTATCTGTAGTAATTTCTTGTGCAGCACTCAAACGCATGCTGCTGCTGACATCAGGGAAAGCACAGAACATTAAACATTAAACAAAAAAAAAAGTATGACATTTGACAAACTGAAATCCAAAATCTTAGAGAAAAAAAAAACTATATTACACAAAATGCACTCTTGTGAGCTTTAAGCCATGTTACAATGTTATGACCTCCTCAAAAACACATGTGTTTTGTTTCTTTCTCATGTTTGAGTAATTTTATTGTCAGTCTGTCTTCATCTCCAAAGCTCAAAATGCTCTGTCCTACCTTGCGATGTCATGAGTGGTAGATTTCAGGTTAACAAGTTTTTTGGGGCTGAAATGATCCAAATGGAATGTGTGTGGTGTTTAAAATTTTTCAGATCCTAAAAATGTAGGGTTTGTGTGTTAAACATGTGTGAATGAAACAAAACACAACTCCATGTAATGTTTGTGATGAGGAAACATTATAACATAGATCAGAAAACAGCGTAATATGGGCCGTTTAAGAGAACTCAAATGTACTACTTCCTGAATACATTGTCATCCCAGTTTACAATTAAGTAAATAATACTCGGGATTGTTGTACTGTGTGATACAAATGTAGCCCTATTGTGAAGCTTTTAGTCACTGCTGTATTAGTGACATCCCCGAGCAGCACAATCTCATTATTAGAGTCTTTTATTCTTTTCTCAAAACAAACATCTCCATTTATTTAAATACAAAGACGACTTGCTGTTACTGCTGTTTTTCCAGCGTAGGTCTGCTTTTCAATAGCTATTTTTCTGAGACAGCAGCAGTGTTCGTTTGCTAAAATTTATACACCCAACTATTTAGACTTGGCTGAAAATTGTGTATTTAGTACATAGATAGACCTGTCATGATAATTACTATATCGACTTATCATTCAGTATATTAAAGATGTATATTTTGGGGGTTAATATTTATCGCACGTATTATTTTTATATTTTTTCTTTGCACTACTGGGACTGCTTATTTTTTGGCAATACGATAAAATGTAAGCCATAAAACATTGAATTAGTAACTCATTACAAATACAAACTAAGTACTAGTGTTTCATTCAGCTATTTATTTATTGCAGTTTGCATTTTTAAACAATATTGTAGATTTAGAATAGTTTTTATGGTTTAAATCTGCTCTTGGGTTATTGAATCTGAGGCATAAATTATTTTCAGTATTACCATTTATCATCTATATTTACTTCAGCACTATATAGAACTTCAAAATTTGATATTATGTCCATAGTTACCATTTTGTTGTTACATTGATATTTCAGTTCTTGTCCTTTTGCAAAAGTTAAAAAATGGATTTAAAAAATGCCATATATTCATAAAGCTGATTTGTTTTTAATTGGCCCCGAGAAAGTCTCTATAATTTTTTGTCAATGTCTGTAAATTTATATAGTACATCAGAGCATTTTAACAATACTATCTTGAGAACATTGGAGGTCTCTGCTTTGAAGGTTGTAGTGCTGGCCTCTTCATGATCTTCAATTCAAGAACACTTGATAGTTTATTTCCAAAAGGTTTAGAAAGAAGGACAATATTGGTCAGATAATGCCAGATGAGAAAGATACATAGACTGTTAGGAGCTGGGGATTGGAAAGAACATTTGAAGAGAGATTGAACTAAACAGAACAAAGAAAAGAAGAAGGAAGGAGGAGTTCTGTAGCATTTTGATTGTGGTGAGTCGGCAAAAGGTGTATGGTCTAATCATATAGAACTATTTTTAGCAACCGAATTGGGTCATGTCATGATATTGCAGGTATATAACGTAAAACTGTATATTAATATACTATATTAAACTGTATTATATTTTCAGTACTTTTTTTTACCCTTTTTAAATCATTTTTGCTTGCTTCGTTTCATTTAGTTCCTATTTCTAACATGTTAATTTGGATTATAGTAAAACTGAAAATACCCCAATAGCCTTTATATAATAGTAATAATATAAGAGTCAAATGTTCAACAGATCTCTAAATATATATTTTAACATAAACTACGCTGATGCCAGTGTTAGGAAATCTAATTTTGATAAAACATTCAAATACAAATATATATTTTATGTGTAAATCCCTCAAGGCATACTATAAGTCCATTCAAGTTTAAGGGAATAAAAGCTAAAGCCAAATGATAATTTATTTACCGGTATTTTTATTTTTATTTTTTATGTCAGAAAAACTGTGAAGTAAATTGAGGTAAAAGAAAGTACATCATTAACCACACCACACAATTAAACATACCACTGACCAATTTCAAACAGAGGGATGCTTGAGAAAATAAAGATATGAATACACTGAATAAAGAGTGACCCTCAACATGTCACTATGGCATCCTGGGCATGCCTTTGTGGATCAATACATATTCAGTGCTAATGATAAGGGCATGTAGCAGGGCAGGGGTCAAGGTGGCCTCTGCTGCGGACCCTCGGAGCTGTGAGAAGGACCACTATAATGGACAAGTGGGTTTTGTCTGTGCATAATGCAGTGGTGAGTGGTGACTGAAGGAATGTAAGTGGAGCTCAGATGAATGAGCGTCTCCTTAAGAAACTCTATGAGAAAATCTGAGTCTAAGGCTTTGTTCACACTGGTTTGGTCCTGGTTTGGGTGCAGTCTAATCTAGATTAGGTTTGATTGTGTTCTAGTCCTAGTTTAGTCCTGGGTTAGTTCTGGTCTTGTTGTCTTGTCAGGTTTTTTCCAGTTTTAGTCCTTGTTAACTTTTATGTGGTAACTGAGTGTGAATCATAGACTATATAAAGAAGCCTCATTCAATCCTCATTGTGCTAATTAAACTAAAGCATTATATATATAGCCAATTCTCCAAGTAATTGATCAGAGAAGCAAACAGGTTACACATACTACTATAGATACAGACTTTTAAAATTGTTCTGAACTTCAAACTTGGGACTAAAAGTTGTGAAATACATCATATAATGGCTGAATAATATGACCTATAGCAAGTGAAAGGCCGATCGTGTTAACAAGTCCAAAACCCACACAGGAATAAAACAGTCTGGATATTAAAAGGTTACGTTCTCACTTTTGGTAATGTGTTACTGACCTTTTTGAGCACGCTGTCCAGAGTCTCCGGACGGCTGATATCAAAGCAGATAAGGACCGCGTCAGAGTCGGGGTACGCCAGTGGTCTGACGTTATCATAATAGGCTGAACCTGCACAGGGAAGAGAAATACTGTAAATATGAAGCTTTTTTTTTTGGTTGTTTAGTTTTACTTTTTTTTTTAATAACATTTACCTTTTCCAGAAAAAAAAAGTTCCTTAAAGGGCCTATATATTGCAGTATTTTCTGATCTATATTTTAATGTTGTTTCCTCATCAAAATTATACCTGTTGTGTCCTTTTTTACATTTACTTATTTTTATTGGATCCAAAACAAATATTCTGATTTTAAGTTAACCCTTTTAAATGTTTTAGTTTCAATTAACATTAAAAATTAATTGAAAACTATGGCATAACAGTGATTATTGTTTTTTGGGTGCAATGGTAACAGTTCTTTTGACAAAATGACTGGTTTTAATAGCCTTGTATTATGCCGATGACAGGATTCTATCTTTAGTATCAACTTTGAGTGTTATGTTTACCTTATTGGTATTACAAATGATAAAACTGACATACAAACATGAATACAAACACTTATTACATTATGCAAACAACTGAATTCAAACCTGCCCTTGAGCATGTGTACAGATATGCACCACACAGACAAAAACACAATAAAGGCAATACGCTTAATGTAATTTGTGTGTGTGTTCATGTGGAAATTATTGCTGAGATGTATTTTCCATAAACAACAGGGAAACCTATAAGAGTCGGAGATGGATAATGGCACCGAAGGGAGTAGAACGGATTTGACTAGAGCTATCCAGGGTGCTGATGAGGCAGGGCACCACACAGAGAAATACATCTGCATCTCTGTTGTGATTGCACCACACATTCCCCAAAGCAAATTCAACACAAGATCAAACAGTCAGAAGATAAAGATCGGACCATTATCCACTGTCTGTTACCCACAGTGTTTCCAGATTGGCCACATGTGAGCTTTTTAGTTTTAATCCTAGATGTGTGGTTCTCTCTAAATAATAGATTAAATTGGGAAGTACTACTAATAGCTTCTATTCCTACGGTTACTACTACTACCAGGCAATTCAACCATTGTTTAATATGACAACAGTGATCATAGATAGTGTAAAGGAGACACGGAGAGAGGGAGTGTGACGTCATGGCGTTCGGCTCCAGTCAAATGAAGCTCACCAATGCTAGAAGTTATAGGGGTGAATTTGAAAGCCAACTTCCACATTAGGAATAGGAATTTATTTCTGGATAAAATTTCTAAAAAAAAACTAAAAAAAAACCACCAAGATCATGTAGATCAGATTAATACAAGCATTTTAAGATCAAAATGACAAAGCTCTGCAGCAGCTACAAAGAAAGGGGTGATAATTTTTCAATGTACAGTTAACTGGAGCCAGTGACAATGGAGCTGGAAGTGCTCCCATGATCACTTCCTATTTGGAACATGGCGGTTAGTGGGTTAGCTATGTCCATTTATATATAAAGTCTAAGGTGAACACATATCTTTGGGTCTTCATTTGAACCCGATTTAGTCCAGATGTAGACTTGGTTTGGTTCTGTCCTATCTTAGTCCTAGGCTAGTCCAGGATTAATTCTAAAATTGGTCCCAGTTTAGTCCATGCTCTGATGTGGTCTATGTGCAAGGATGAAAGCACCCTAAGTAGCATTATCAAATCTCCAGAGCTTTATTGGAGTCATTCCTGATCTCAAAGACTGTTCCTGCCAGTGCTTGGAAACATTTAAATAATGATTTTTTTGTTTGTTTGTTTGTTTTATACCTCTTAAACAGGTTAAGTAGTGTACCTTCTACACTACTAGTCAAAAGTATGTGTATGTAAGATATATGGAATTATGTAGCAAAGAAAAAATAATAATTAACTAAGTTTAATAACAAAATATTTTTTGACAAAATATTTTGTTATTAAACTTAGTTATTTAACTTTTTTTTGCTTTTACTTGGTTACTTTGAGCATTTGGTTATGAAATATAAAAATATATATTTATTAAAATTTTTTTCTTTGCTACATAATTCCATATATTTTACTTCATATATTTGATTTATTCCGTATTGCCTGTATCTTTTCCATAGGCACTGTATATGGTCATGTTTTCTATGGTTGAACACATTATTGTTTAGTTGTGGCCACCCCTAAAGTGACAAAAGCTAGGCCTGTTAGTGACAATATATAGATGAGAGGGGAGTTTTGTTCCCCTCTGGTCAGGAATGCGTCCTCTGTCCCCGATCACAATGTCCCATTCACCCACGGGACCTCACAAAAGAATAAAAACATGCCATTCTCAAATCCCAGGTACCATTTTGTGTCTAGCATTCCTTTCATTATAGCATTGTCACACGTCCATCAGTTAAGTTTGGTTTCCACACTCACTCATACACCATAGCAGAGAAGTGGAGTTCATTGCAATTATATGAAATCATAGTTATTACTGCCTGAGTGCTCTGTAATGACTGACAATGAGATGAGAAAGTGAGCCTGTAAATTGTTGTATGTAGCAACATTTCTCTGTCTGTAGTACATGGATGAGTTTATTTAGAGTTTTTTATGTTGTAGTTATGTATTATAGTGAAAAAATGCAGTTTGTGCTGTATATTATCGGCTATGTTTACAAGAAATCTGTTTATATTCTGATTGAAACATTGAAACATCCGTAAACACTTTGTTTTGATGTCAGTAATTTAATTTCTTTCTGAGTCATTTGACAAAAATCTTATTATTATTGGGTAGTCTAATCATGCTAAGTGCTCCACTGTGTTTTTAAACTCCATACACCTTCACTAGAATCATGTGGATGATTTCAGCCCTGAAATTGTCTATCTCTTCAAAACAAAAGGTAAAAGATAGCTGTTAACTTAACTACCGCTTCATAACAGCACAAGGTGGAACAGAGCATTTTGAGCTTTGGACCTGTAGATAGACAAATAATGAGGTTATTCAAACATGTGTGAATGAAACAAAAAACAACACCAGATGTCTTAGTGAATGGTCAAGAATCAGTCACCATAAACCACATTTTACTTTCATATAACGCTCTCTTACCTTCACCTGTACAAGCAATAAGGTCCATTCATAGGGAAATCCATCAGTTGTTATTTCACAGCTACACTCTCACCGCTTCTGTAGATAGGGGCTAACCAAAACACATTACTCTGCATATAGCTGTAGCCTACACAGACCAGAGAAAATGCTTACAGTGCAACTCTGCAAATGAAATCGTGTACAACGTCTCATCCTTTTGCCTAATACTATTTTATATTGCAAGCTTTCTACCCTAGAGAGGTTGAAGTTAAGGCTAGATACTAGATATACAGCAGTCTAAAAACTTGAGACATTTTTGTGAGAAATTTACTATGAATGGCGTACTTGAGGGAAAAAATTATGAAAAAATATTGCTAGACCATGCAAATATTGTATAGTTCAGCACTTTAATAAGATTCTCTCATGTTTCACAACAGCAATTAAAGAGCCCATATTACGTTATTTTCTGATTTATGTTATAATGTTGTTTCTTCAGCAAAAACATTTCTGGAGTTGTGTTTTGTTTCATTCATATATGTTTAACACGCTAATCTTGCATTTTGTCTGAGTTCTTCTCTCAAATATAAAACACCCTGCTCCACCTTATGATGTCATGAAGTAAAACAGGAAGTGCTCCACTGTGGGGGGGTTTTAACGTCACATACCTAGAACTAGAATCATTAGGATGATTTCAGCCCTGGAATTGCCAATTTCAACTAAACAAAAGACAAAAGGTAGCAGTTAACCTTATAATAATAGGAATGATATGTGATTGGATCCCTTTATATCTTGCATTGTTATACAAGTTTTAACAGGTGCCTAAACTAGACTGAAAACCAAACATTTATCATAACTGGTGAATGTTTTTTAGATAGCCACAAATATTTCAACACCAATTTGTGTATTCAAGGGTAGACTTTTTGTACATTACCTCAAAATTGATTGTTCTCTTACCTTATAAAAAATAGTCTGCTTCATATCTGCATTTTAAGAACAACCCAAACACGCTGCTGGTCAGGGATAAAAAATAGTGCTGGCATTTGCATTGACATTTTTGACCATTTGGCTTTGGGGCTGGACTGTGACAGCGTGTAACACAAATGATAGTTAATATGGCCATAGTTATTTTAGCCCAGAGACACACACACATCTGTAACATGTGCTCTGGCTGCAGGTGCATACACTATAGAGCCATTAGTGTACATGATGGACCGGCACTGAGGCCTATATATTCAATATGGTACAGGCTGTGTGGTATGAAAAGTGATATGAGGGATAATGGGGTTTAAATGGCAGAAGTTGCATATATTAGCGTAATGGTTTAGTTTAGAATCGCTCACTCTGGTCTTCAGTTTGTGTATGAGCAAAAGTAGGGAATGGAAGTAACAAAAAAGTGCAGCTACAATAACATTTCTGTTTGTGAAAAAGCATCATCCAAAACACACACCTGCATGATGGAAACTTAAAACCATACTTCGTAAAATCCTCCATCAAGACCATAGACTGTATATATAAATGGACATAGCTAACGTGCTAGCCACCGTGTTCCAAACAGGAAGTTTGCATGCAGGCTCTTCCGGCTCCTTCTGACCCTCATCATTTTCGTCTTAAAATGTTCATCTTAATCCGCTCATGATCCTGGTGTTTGTTTGTTTTTTTGTGGGGGGTAGAGCCTGGCTCCAAATTTGCTGTTCTAACTGTTAGCATCGCGTGCCTCATTTGAGTTTCACCAAACACTATGGGTGACGTCACACTCACTTAGTCCACTTTTTACATACAGTCTATGATCAAGATAGAAGATTTATAGCATAATGTGAAAGATTATAGCTAAATGAACAATATTTACATGGAAACAAGCAAGAAAAGGCTCTCGTCCAGGCCAAATAAGAGTCAGCTTTGTGGAAATGCGAGCTGTTTTTCAGTGCAACACAGCACAAAAACAAAACAAACAAAAAAACATGTTTTTTGTCACTCTTAATTTTAGTTTTTCCATAATTCATGATTCATTCCATAAATATATATATTTTATGTTGCTTATAGACAAT